GTATGGTAGCCAGATATGAAATCTATTAAGAATTGAATCAAGAAAGCTTGAATTGGCTTTACATTTTCTTTAGCTCTGACTGCACGCCACATTCCTTTGTTGCACTTGAGCCTGTGGAGGTTGCACTTGTCCCTGGCAGTCAACAGCCCAGAGTCCACAAGCAGAATAGGAACTCTAAGCACTGCAGGAGCAGTATCCTCACAGGGGAGAAAATTTTGGCTCCTGACAGTGGGTAGTCCCCAGTGGCATGGACTTCAACTTCCAGTTTTCCGTGCAAGTGACTGCCCAAGAACCTGGCAAAAGTGTTTCCTTCTCCCTTCTCAGGCATCTCTGCTGCTTTTGCTCTGCTGGTGCAGTGCTCCAGAGCCACCAGCCAGGCTCAGGCACTGGAAGGGCTGTCATGTAACCTCACGGATACTTGGGAGGACACACCACTTCCCTGTGCTGACATTTATTTTAATTCTGGGAGTTATACATGCCATTTCTGTGTTCTTGTGCTGTTGTACTTAAATAAGGTTTTCCATTTGTAGTCTTAACTAGCTGAGTTTGATACATCTTTTGGAAAAAGAAATTCAAGTTATGATTCAATTCAGTGCCAAGCTGGCTAATTGACTCCAGTAGAATTCAGATCAGGCCCTAAATGCTTGTATGCTCTGAGAATCAGGTTTTCTTTCAGTGATAAGAGATTAGCTACAGATGAAACATAAGACTTAATTTTTTTTTTTCACAGCCAACTGATGAAAGCTATCATCTGAGGTGAAATGTCTTTTATGAGAAACAGAATCACACCTTGCTAACAAAATAACTTTCTTTCCTTCTGAGATACCACACAGAAGAAAATAATATTATTTTATTCTGTTCATACAGATTTCATCTAGCAAACTCTGAGTTCATACAAAATTTTTGTCCAGATGTTCCTATTGCCATGGTGAAAGAAAAAGTCGTTTCTATTCCCAGTTCTTAGCCTTCAGCTCTTTTCCTTTTGTCAGTCGTGCCGGGTTTTGAAATGCAACCAGAAGAACTTAACTTATCCAAGGAGAAAAGGATGAATATTAGCAAGACAAGATCATTGAAAGAAACAGATAAAAGATACAGAGAGAACCTTATTTTCATACTAGTTACAACAATTTTGCAATTATTGCAATCTCCTGATTTTAATGGAGTTATTTATGTCAATAAGTTTATTTATATTAAGTTTTGCAGAGAGACCTCAAGGTGGTACATCTTTATAAGGCAAAAAGACTCCGCTGCATGACGATTTATCAAGGAAAGCGCATATTTCTCTTGTTCAATCCTTATTATATTGCAAATGTTTTGTTGCCACAGCCAGAAATCCCTTGCTCTGAAAAACCCAGAAATAGCCAAGCTGGCATATAACAATCTGATGACCAAGCAGCAACTGGATTAAGTTAATGGTATGGAAGGAAACTGCTCTGTTAAGGAGGAATTAAGACATTGCAGAACTTTGCAGAGTGACTGGGAGACAGAAGGGAAAACGACAATTACATTATTCTATAATCCTTCCATATAGACCATATAGAGCAATAGGAAAAGCATGCCTGTACACCCTTGATATAACCTCCCTGGCTCCTGGAGCAGGAGTCCCTCTGTCCAAGCCACTGCTTACCTAGAAGCACCCAGGAACTCTCTATCCTCCTCTGTGAAATTCCCTTGTACGGATCTCTATCCTGCAAATGCAGCACAAAGTTTCCAGTTTTGCTTCACATTTCAGTGACATCTTTTCTGGGGACACAGCCATTTGCTCCAACAGGGATGTTCAGAAAAGAAACACGCTGCTTTCCCTGGCCTGGAATCTGACAGACACAACCACCTGGCAGGTATGCTGGAGTTACCTGTGTGTGGTGATTCACCTTAATTTTCCACTGCATTCAACAGGAGAGGCTGCTGTTTTCCATAAACTGTCCTCTGTTTCTGGTGCCTATGACCAAAGAGACATTTTCAAAGGATTGGGCATGACTGATGCATTCGTTAACCATGCTGATCTATCTGGGATTGCTGAGAAGCTGATTGCTTGGAAGTCTGCAGCCAAAAATTGCCATCTGTGGGTCTGATGTAAATGCTGGTCTTAACCTTGCCTAGGAAGAGACTTGGGCCAGGGACAGAGGAGCTGATGCTGCAGCAAGGACAGCAGAAACTTTCCACTCTCTCCCCAAAAAAGCTGAGCACTGTTGCATGTCTTGGGGGAAACAGAAGGATCACTGTAGAAGCTTTGCTGTTCCCAGCGGTTCCTCCCGCAAAAGAGCAGCATCCTTCAGATGGTGAGCCAAGAATGAGGGCAGGGCTGAAAAGTTTATACTGGATATGTAGGCAGGCCCAGACTTGAGAAAAGCAGCTTGT